CAAAGCCCATGCTTAAGATTGTTTCCTTAATTTATTTTTGCTGGAACTGGTTGTTGACCTGCCACCAGGGGTTATAATTCAATGCCCACCAGTCTGCATTACACATGGATGAACAGGACTCCCCCTCCTGCTCTTGACACCTGCCTTAGGTGTGTTGAAAAAATTTGCAGGTTAATAATGACCCTTTTTTAGCCAAGTCCTGAAAATGTCTTCCTTGTCTGTCATGTCCTGGAGTGCGACTTAGCCCAGAGCTTCTGGCTCAGAGGCAAGGACACTACCCACTATGCTGTAAAAACTCTTATTCTCATGTGTATAACAGTGAATAAAATCTAGTAATGTATTCTGAATCTACAGGGAAAGATGAAGAGGTTTGATACTCTCTGTGAAATTGATTTCATTAAATGCAACCATTAAATATAAAATGAATCCAGGCAGGAGAAGCTAAGACAACATTAATAAAACTCTGCTTTGTGTTCTGTATTTCTCTATTCTCTCACTGATCATATTAAGGTTTGGAAATAATGGGACTGGCTGATGAAAAATGAAGTAATATTCAATTCAGAAACCTCTAAAGATCCTGGTAGCAATGCTGTATTATATGAAGCCCCGTCTATAAAGACAAGCAGTGACTTATGATGAGATTGTGCTTGATAAAAAGGTTTTCAGAAAGAGCTAATCCATCTTGAATGAAAATATTTGGTTTTGGTTCATAATTGATGTGGAGAAACTAGATAAAAACACAGAAATTGACAGGTTTGGAGTATATTATTAGGCTAATTATGGTATAGTATTCTGACTAACAGCACATTATTATGCAAAGGCACACAAACATGGGGAGGGACGAACAGTGAAAGTCAGTCTGCCTGGCTGCTTCACACCAATGTGATGTAGATCACAATTATTCGTAATGGAAATGTGAGTGTCATTAACAAGCTACGTTTTTATTGTCCATCCCTAATTAGTCTTGAAAAGAAGCTAGTGATCCGTTGAGATGGAATGTAGAAATTCGCTGAGTGTTCTCACACGACACCTTCCAAATCCATGATCATTAACATCTGGGCAGCAGATATATAGAATACAACCATGTGCAAGTTCTCCTCCAAGCCACTCACCATCCTGCTTTTGAAATATATCACTGTTCTTTTTGGCTAAAGTCCTGAAATTCCTTCCCTAACCGCACTGTGGGTGTACCTATACCAAATGGAGTGCAGCAGTTCAAGGAAACAGATCAAAACCACCTTCTCAAGGGCAATTAGGAATGGGCAATAAATGCTGTCCCAACCAGTGATGTAAACATCCATTGAATTAATTTTAAAAACTAGGTTCATCCTGATAAAAAAGATTATTCCAAGGCATTTGACTGCCACACTGAAGCAAATCTTTGGATTTTTTTCATTGACCAGGGCATCCAGCTCTCCTGGGGTCTCGATGTCTTTCATTGTCGACATCACAATCTCGCTCTGCAAAACGTTATTGATGTAGTGCGGATCATAAAACCTCACCAGTGCCAATGACAAGGAGCAACTATAACACTGGCGTCCAAAGCACCAGTGCAAGAACCCTTCAAATAATGACCTATTTTGTACCATTTCAGAAACATTTACTCCGCATCTACAAAATAAACTGCCTGAAGACACCACTGTTGAACTTGCATCAACATCGACAGCCTTTATAATGTCTGCTGCTGTGCTGGTGTTGACAGGGTGCCTTGTTACAAGAAGCACTAGCTGTGCATTTTCATTTTCTGCTCCTGAAATCCTGAGGAATCAGAAAGGAACCAAATGTCAAACACACTCAAGCGCTGCTTGCCTTGATACGCACTTACTAAGTCGCTACGGAAGTCCAGAATGTGAATGTCACTCAGTCGGAGCACAATACATGACATGAATATTTTGTGACTGATCTTGAGCACAGATGCTACTAGATTCATGGTACAAACAAGATAATTATAGCATGTAGCAGGGAACCTACAGAATAGAAATGACCCACTTAACCCATCAGGTCTATGCCAACCTTTACTCTCCACATGAGTTATCGCCCATCTTTTCCTCATTGAAATCTATCACTACATCCTTCTGTTCTTTTTTCCTTTCATGTGCTTATTTCTTCTTCTTGAGTTCCCTGGCCAAAGACAGTTCTTTGGTGATTATTTGCCAAACTTCAGAAAAACTCTGAGATTTATTTTCACTACAGGTAGGGTGAGTAGATAGACTCTGAGCCTACATCAGCGTGAGAGGGAATTGGACCTTGTACTGTTGATGTTCATCTGATGATCAACCTACTCGCACCCAACTTCCGGATGATCAACCACTGCCTTGTTCATTATTGTCTCAATGGTAGATCAATGTGGTTTGCACAAAATGGCTCTGGGATAGCCTAAGTTTTCTTTCTAAAGCATGACCAAAAAGTTAGTGTCCTCTTTTCTCTTCCTACAGCATGTTTCCTTAAGCATTTCAACTCAATATCTCAGTATAATTCAACGATTGCCAGGCTTATTTTCCTCAAGTTATTAAATTTAAATTTCTGGGGTCTGACATTGTAATAGATTTGCAGAAGGAACATGCTGTTAGTTTTGATGTTTTCTCATAGATAATTTTGCATGCTTGTGCCTTTGCCTACTCTATAGTCACATCAATACCAGTTACTGTAGCTCTGTTCATACAGCTACTTGCCCCCAACTGCTCCACATCAAGATGCTTCAGGCACCAGGCAGATTAACTTCAAGCCATCCTGTTTGTTCTGTAATGCACAGCAGGATAATTGGCAAAGCAAAACCACAGTACAATTACATCTGCAGCTGCATGTAACTCTTCAAATGTATCTAAAACCACCTCAATTGGAAATTAATTCAGGTATGAAAGCTACAAAGCATTAGCATTTCCAGACAATCATTGCACTCTAAATTCTCCTGAACTCTCTTGAGCGTTTTCTCCATTTGTTCCGGAACCCCCACCTCTTGTCCCTTGTGAAACCTGTTTTTTTCTGTCATTATTTTGCTTGCTAGGCAACTAATGTTTTGACTCAATATAGGAGTGAACTGAAAGTTGCTATTGGCCCAGAGACTGCTGTCTTATCAGGGAGAGGTGACTGGTGGTGAGTTTAATTTGAGGGTCACCCTCCCTTAGGTGAGGTGAGGCTGAGAAGACAGGGTGACCTCAGCTGGTACTGGAATTGAACCCATGCTGTTAGCATCACTCACTGGTCACCCAGCTAACCAGGTTGAACAGTCCTCCTAGTATAGAAAAGTAACTTGTGAAGAGAAGAGGGAGAAAGATGGATAGGAATTGATAAGGGAATGGAGCCTCCCAAGCTGTGGAAACATTGATTAGATTGAAAACATGGATTTTGAGAAATGGGAAGCAAACTGGGCTTCTGGTTGGAAAATTCAGAGAGCACGTCTGAGGTAGCTGATACCTCTGTCAGTGGGACAATATGAGAGGGAATCAACAGGTGGCCAAAATCAGAGGTCTGAAGGAGGATGGAGACAACAAAGGGCTTAAGGAGATTGTAGAGATAGGGTGCAATGAGAGAGGTAGAGGCCTACAACACACAAATGCCCTTTTGGCCCATTGAGTCTGCACTGGTCAAAAACAATAGTGAGAGGGTGAGACGGTGAGGTCTCACAAAGAACAAAGAAGTAAATAACTACATCATCATTCAAGGATGATAGTTGAAGGATAAATATTGACCAGAACTTTGGAGAATCTACTTGGTTCTTCCTTGAATAGTACCATGGAATATTTTATTTCCAACTAAGATGTTAGACACAGACTAGGCTCTTCACATAGATTCCTGTTTGACTGTGGACAGGACAATATAGAAATGTGGAGAGAAGCCTTGGCTAGAAATGCTTTGACTATGTTGATAAAGGACAAGAAGTGAGAACATGCAATAACAATCCCAAGAGGCTGGACAATGGATGTTAATAGAATTGAGAAACTTTATCAAGTGTTAATGAACGATTGAAGAGAACAAGGAGGAATATTATGCATTGGTCTCAGAGAATCATGTCTTTCCTAACTTCAACAGCCTTTGTATAGCAAGAAAGGTGGAAATTGAATGAAAGGGACATGACCAGTTTTGGGATATTTGGACATAGAACTAAGTGGTGGCAATGCATTCAAAGCCCTCGGAGAGGAAAAGGAGGTTAAAATTTAGACAACAATCAGAAAGGACAAAAATGTCTCAGGTATTTTTTATCCAGAGGGAAGATCGCAATGTTATATTTGAAAGGTAATGGGATAATTGCTTTACACCAATAACATTGTTGTCACTGATCATTGCTAGAACTTGGGTAGGCAATGGCCTTATGGTACTATCACTAGGCCATTAATCTAGAGACCCACGTAATGTCCCAGGGACCTGGGTTCAAATCACATCGTGATAGATGATGGAGTTTGAATAAAACAGATAGAAAATCTGGTATGAAGAGTCTAATGATGATCATGAAACCATTACCGATTGTCAGGAACCTAACTAGTTCAATAGTGTCTCTTAGGGAAGGAAATCTGTCACCCTTGCCTGGTCTGGCATATATGTCACTCCAGCCCCATAGCAATGTGGTTGACTCTCAATTAGGGATGGGCAATAAATACTGGCCTGACCACTAATGTCCATGTCCTGTGAATGAATGAAAAAAAAGGCTTCTATCTAGAAGATACACTGATATATGTTAAAATAGCAACTTTTAAATACTAACATAATATTCATTGCAGATTATATAAAGCAAAATAAAATGTATCATTTGCCAGATATTTTCAACTTTCCATTATCTCATTGCGTCTTCGGGCACTTCTAACCATGATTCGGAAGGTTCCAATTCATGAGATTTACTCCAATGAGTAAATCAAGTCTCCAAGTCTGTGTAAATGTGGACTTGAGCAAGATTTTCACCTTGCTAACTGTAATTCAGAACTGGAGAAAACTTACCCAGTCTCCATTTAGGATTACATAGCTTAATGTGATAACTAACAGAGTGATTGTTATCCTCTAATTGTCAGATATCCGTGGGATTCAGGATTTTTTGGACAAAGCTTCTCAGCAAGGGATGGATGTAGCTCTGCAGAAAGTGGAGAACAACATCAACAGGATGATCAGTACGATGTTCGCCACAATGCGTTTGGAAGAGATGAACCGGTACCGTGACACACTTCGACGAGCTATTCTCTTCCTCAGCCCACAAACAGCGAAGGCCTTCGTTTCCCAGGTAGGAATTCAACAGTGTCCAGCAACATCCTGTAAGGATAGCACGGTCTGGAGAGCTCAAACCACCTGCTGTCATGTTGTTTGGTTGTATCAAATCAACTTGTGTCTTATGACAGAAAAATTTGTATTTGTCCCAGGCTAGGTGTCAGAATTCCTGTTCTATGTTATGTTGGCTGTTCACAATGTCTGTTTCTTTTTCCCTTTCTTAGCCCATCCACCCAGCATCTCCCCTCCCCACCCAACAATGTTACCCCCAAGTTGCACAGCTGCAGAGCCATTCTGAGGTCCCACTCAGATCCTGGAGTTCACACACCAAAATACAAATTAGTGGGATGATTGCCAACTCCCCAACACCACCTCCCAACAATGGGAAACGACGTGTTGATAACTGCAACAAGCATGTCGATACAAGTTGATATGTCGCCAATATCAGATAGGATGCTGAGGGAAGTCAGAATGAAATGGTGGTGGTATTGTCCATAATCTTGCAATCACCCTTCCAGATGGAGATTTTCATATGCTACAACCCCATTCAATGAAGAGGTCAAGGATTACCTTCCATCCGTAGGCCAACCAGTTAACAATGGGAAACCTTCTAAGAAGCAATAATCTGAAACAAAATTACCAGTCACTTGGACAAGTCTGAGTTAATTAAGGACATCCAGTATCAATTTGTGAAAGGCAAATTGTGTTTAACTAACCTGATTTGATTGAATTTTTCAATAAGTTATTAGAAAATGTTGATAAAGATAACACAGTCAATGTGGTATATTAACTGTAAGGACGAGCAAGTGCCATATAACAACCTTGCCAGCAAATATGAAGCCCTTGGAATAAAAATAACAGCAGCTGTGTGAATACAATGTTGGCTGAGTGACTGAAAACAGAGAGATGTGATGAGCAGTTGTTATTTGAATGAAGAAACCTGTACGGGGGAATTCTCCAGAATTCCACAATCATGGCTTTTATTGTTCCATGTTAATCCTCTAGACTAGGATCAATAGGGCATACTTCTTAAAATCTGCAGATGGCTTTAAACTTAAAGCATGTTCTTTGTAAGGAGAACCTCAAGTAGGTATTGACAAGCTGTTGGACTGTACAAACACATGGCAGATGAAATATAATGAAGAGAATTGTCAATTGAAAAGTCTTGGCCAAAAATTAAGGCGAGGAAATATAGAACAAAAAATGTCCATGTTTCTATGATTTTATTTTCTTGGGAGATTGCCTAATTCAGAGGTTTGGTCCTTTCCCTTTAGACGGTTGGAATATCTGGCTCAAAAACTGCTTTCTTCATCGGGTTTTGCAATGTGACCCCAGCAGTAACCATTGATCCCTCCATCCAAGTCAAACAAAAGAACCATGAAAAACTGGTTCTTTTATGTGACCCATTCCAGTCACACCCCAACAAGCACTGTTGTGGTGTAAACTGCAGGAATTATACCAATAATTTTTAATATTATTTATTATGAATTCAGGTTTTTAGTTTTATAAAAATATTAATAACAAATAGGTCTTCTTTGTGTCTTAATAATTACGTTTTTGTTTCGATGGTAATTTACTATAAAATAGTTTTTGAAGCCTGGTTTTAGAGTGTGTGAGTTTTGTGCCATACTAACGGATATTTTATGTACTGAGATTGTTTTGTGAAGCGGCGAGGTAAACAATGGTTTGTTACAGAGTTCTGGAACTTGTTTCTTTTTAATTTGAAGGGCAACATCCATAGCTGAGAGGGAGAGACTTTTATTTTCACTTTTGACTTTGAGTGGGGAGTTCATGTGAAGTTCTTGGAGTAACATGGCTGTGTAGAAGAGTGCTCCTGAGAAAAAAAGGGACATTTAATGAACTAGGTTACATTAGAGTGAAGAGTTAGTGGTAGTCCCAGACCAGAAATGTTAGGGATAAAACACTGAAGAGGTTACTTAAAGCTGAATATATATAAGCAGATATATGATAGCTTCAAACAACAGTTATTTGTTGTTCTGGTCTGAAGGATGAAGTCATAAGGACCTTAAACCTACTGAAATGTTAGATACAGGCCTTCTGGTATGGGTATAGTACAAATGGTGTTTTGGCATGATATAAAGGCTTGCTTTTTTTTTATCAATTTATATAGGCCTGTTTTGGGATTAATGGGATTATAATTTTATAGTGCGCTTAACAAAGTTTGAATTTATATTATAAATTTGAATTATTCTACTTTATCTTCTTTTTTTGTAATAAATATCCGTTCATCGTTAAAGCAAAATCTGCAGCATTAGGTGCTTATGTTTCAGTGAGGCAGCACTTTGTTAAACTCAAAACAAATTAAAATATGATCTATCAAGCCAGGTTCCTGTCTGGGATCAGACATGTCCAGTAATAACGTCAGGTTGGGAGTATATTGCTGTGCTGATTGTGAACAGCCTGTGGTTACCGGGGTTCTGCCACATGGTTGTGACTTCAAGAGGTGGGCTAATTGTAAATGCTAGTTCTTGTGACATCTTGCATTTATATAGCACTATTTCACAGGAGTATAAGTTCGAAACTGTGAGAAGTTTTACTTCAGTTCAGTAGTTTAACAATGTCTTTCCAGAACAAAATAACAATAATCTAAGTGGGTGGCACAAACGTCATTACTTTTGGTGCAGGTGGGGAGGTGTTCAGAGCATGTGAATAAGCAGTACAGAGGGCATGCAGGATTAGTGGTGTCTGTGTTTGGGTGGGTACTGATGACTGATGGAAGAGCAGGCAACAGTGAAAGTAATGGAACATAGGCCTTGGTGGGAGGTAGGTGATTTGCAAAGATAGAGTGTGTGGGAAGTATCAGAGAGAAAATGAGGGTGTCCACATTAGTGAAGTGGAGAAGATCATTGACCTTCCCCCTATATTGCTGTGGTTTCCTCTGGGTGGCTGAGACTACACTGACCTGGGTGGCACTGTATGGTATCATGGACCGCACTGCCAGTCCTCAGGTGAGAGGATATCACATTTCTGCGGCACCCTGTTCAGCAGCATTTTCAGGTCTCTGCCTGCAAGGTGGGGCACCAAGTTTCCCTTGTCTGCCATTGTCCACAGCAAACATCAAAAACCATGCAGGGGTAACCATGCTTTTCTAGGTACACGGTGGCATTTTGAGGAGGCGCTGGCATCAGAGATGCTGGAATATTGGGCGATATCCCGACACTAGCAGGTTGATCTGGCTACGTTGAGGAACTGGATGTCCAATGAGAGGGCTTTCAGTGCAGTGGTAGATCAATTACTGCAACAGTGCTTCAACCAGAACGTGCCTTCTCAGACACTTTACAGAAGCTTTCAACGAACAGTAGAAATGAGCTAGAGGAGCTTCATAGGTGTTTCATAAGGTACGTTTGATAAGATGCGGTGAGGAATCTACCTACACCTCATGGGTAGAAATCCTCCATGGAACATGACGAGTTAACACTTAGCCATAAGAAAATGTCCAATTCAGGTCAAAATAAAACCTAAACGCTGCATCAGGCTCTTCAGCCAATGCATGAGGAGGAGGGAGAACATTCCACTCATAATTAATTTGAAACAAATTCTGAAATCTCATCTGCAGGAACAAATGAAAATTCACATTGGGGTCTATTTATGCTAAGTGAAAGCCACTTTGTTTCTTGAATGAGATGACGTTGTCATGACGATGTGCCGAGCAATATGGAGAGCTCAGAATAAAGGCTTGATTGGTGATATGATAAATCGTTTCTCACTGATCAGCACAAGGCAGATGTATCACTTACAAGAGCAGGACCTAGCATCACGGGAACAACAGCTAAACTACTCTGCAGCATCACTGCAGCTCTCGGAGCTAAACCCGCTCGATAGTTTCCTCATTTGGCAAAAACCAACCCTCACACAGGATTTGTGGTCTTTACAAATCATGGCCTACTTTGCATGACTTCCTCGAAGACCTGAAGCTAAGGTTTTCAAAGCTAGTCTCTTTTTTACAATGTTGGACTGACTTAATGGTATTAGTCTGAATTTTTTACATCAGACCATGCAGGCTAACATGGTAATTATGCTTCAATTTTGTTCCTTGTGAATGGCGATTCTGAGCACTGAAATGATTTGACCTTTAGATCAACTGAAGCAAATTAAGTTTCAAACCAATTCTTTGTGCATCCTGCAAGAAAAAAATAGGCCATTTTAATTTCACAGTTTAAATGATTGGTCACAGCCTTTTATTGGTTTGACACTTGCTTGATAGTGTCACTTCTGGTCAGTTACAGAATGACGAGAAAAAAGGGGACTGACAACTTCCAGTATTTCCTGTGGTTCATTTTCTTCAGATTGAGAGTGTTACTAGAGAGCGAGTTTGTTTTCCAAAAGTTTCATAAAGACTCTTTTGGTAAAACATAAAGCCATGTTGGCTCTCTGTACTTCAACTACCTTTTAAAATTGGTTTTGTATAGGAACTGGAGTAGGCCTTTCAGCCTACAATTATGTGGAGGCGCCAGTGTTGGGTTGGGTTGGACAAGGTCAGAAATTGCGTGACACCAGGCTATTGTCCAACAGGTTTACTTGAAAACACAAGCTTTCGGAGTGTCGCTCCTTCTTCACACATTCGCTCCCCCACCATCCCCTCCTCCGCCAAATACACACACACGCGCACACACACGCGCACACACACGCACACATACACACACACACATACGCACGCACACGCACACACACACGCATGCACACATACACACACACACACATGCACACACACATACACACACGCACACACACACACACACACACCTGCACGCACACACATGCACACACACATGCACACACACACATGCACGCACACACACACATGCACACACACACGAAAATCTATGTGGTGAATTTGTATTTGCAGATACATTCTATTTTGTTCAAAAAGCATACAAATTATAGACAGTCAGTCAATGTGGTGTTTTATAAATTCCTACTTTAGAAATAAAACCAGTCTGACTACAAACCAAAACGCAAACAGATTCTAAACAAGGTCTCACACCTAACATGCGT